GCATGCTTCAGTTGCTGTCAAGCACAGCTGCGGCCCAGCAGCAGTCCTGGCTGTGAGTTTTTGTTGGTTTGATCTGCCTGGCTGTCCTCCTGACTGTGGAGAGGCACTGGCATCACCTGTGGGCTCTCCCTGCTACGTGGAAACCAGACTGCAGAGACCACAGCCAGGAAAGGCAACCATAGCTCTCCCTCTGCAGCAACCCTGTGGGAGGGGACCCCGTGGTCATCGTACTCCATCCATAGGCTCTGTGGCTGCTCTGATCCAGCCCTTGCATCTTTTGTAAATGAGAAGCACTTGCTAAAAACCCTGATCCAAGAAGGTCTCTAGGTAGAGCAGAGCAGTTCAGCTGCAAGTTGATCTGCACTGCTGCAGTCCCAACTCTTCACACGCCCCTGGTCAGGGACTCTTCTACTCCCACTCTGCTGCTAAGAATACCTCATGTCCCTTTTGGTGCACTGCTGTGGTGAAAATGTTTTACTCTGAGCATGTCATTTCACTAAATTTATCACTTAAGAATGCGGGAACTACAGTTAATCATGGCAAGGCAAAAGAGACAGTGTGCAGTAGAGATGACTGCAGCAAAATTAATGGCTTTTCATATTAATAGGCTTTTAATAGATAGGGCATCATTTAACAAATTTTAAGGTAAGTAGTTTTAGACTCTTTCTAGAGTAAAGACCTTGAAGCAAGTCTGATATTGATACAATCTCTTTTACTAAAAACCAGAGAGGAAAGGCTCAAGCACTTGCGAGCACACCCAGCTGCTCCCTTCCTCACAGGTGTTGTGAAACGGCCGCGATCGCCAGACTGGCGTTGGCAGCCCTGCTCATCGCCCCCCCACCGCTCGGCATCCAGTAGTGATGCTGGCGCAGGCCGTGGGCGAGCTCTGCCAGGTGAACGCGCCCGTCCACCTCGTACGGCTCCACGTCTGTGTGAGAAGGCTCCAGCCGGCCCCTCTGAATCAAATCTGAAAATGCCTGAAATGAGTAAGAACAAGAATGTGACATATAATATTCCTCTTTGACTGCAGAAGGCTCTAGAAGACAACACACAACAGGAGAGTACGTGATCATTTCAGTACGCTGATGTCCAGCAAGTCTCATTACAGCACCATCATACTATAAGTATTCTAAAAAAAAACCACAGTAAATCAGGTCTCTTGTTCACTAATAGCCGTAGTCTTCCCCATGACTGCAAAACCAAATTAAAACAAACAAAACCCAAACCTCTTAGAAGGATTTGGAAGCAAACACTTACCATACAGGTGGCTTCATCAAACTTGTTCCCCCAGATGTAAATATAGGAAAGTTCTGTGTTTATTTTCATTGCATCTGAAAGTGCTACAAGTCCTTTGCCACTTATATTATTGCTTACTACTGACAACCTAACAAACAGAGAAAATAGTTATGCAAATGTGTGCCAAACCACAGAATTCCCATCTCTTAGTTAAAACTGAGTTTAATTATTTTATATTGTATCATTATATATTTCTATAGATGTACATTGACATTTTGTATTCGTTATTAATAACGTAATTATCTCTTTGTATCAAGGCCAGCCCTACCAGAAAATCTTTTTCAGGTTGTTAAGGCCATTCGGACTGTTGAACTATTTCTCAAGGCATTTCCATGACTCGTGCAGCCAGGTTGTTCACTATTTAGTTCTTCAGTGTCAGTGACTTTCTGCGTGGTGGCCAGGACTCATCTCTAGTCTGCTTTGAAGCCCAAGCCTTGGCATTTATCCAGGCTAAGCTTTGATCTTTGTGGAGTGACGGTTATTTTTATATTAGTGAACTTGGAAGGCTTTCAGAGGCACCTACTGGCCGCCACCTCCTCAGTCTGTTACTTAAAACTAATGGCTTCAGGTAACACCTTTGATCAGCTTTTACATCCTACCAGCCAGGGTTTAACACCAGCTACAGAAGACACCGTGATGGAGAGATTACAGCTCCTTTGGGTTCACCCGGAAGCTAACTCAAACAGAGGATTTTCTTAAGTGTTGAAGATAGAATCAACAAATATAGTGCCTGATCCCTGCGTGGAATCTGATTACCTTACAATTCTGAAGACTACAGCTCCTGTTTGGTTTTGCGTGTGTGCAACAGGGACCTATGCTTTAAAATGCAGGAAGAACCCAATTTTCTTCCCCCCTGCCCCATCTCCCTTAGAGTGACTGTCGAAGCTGTGAAACACATCTAAGATGAACCACTACACAACCAATCTAAGAGTCAACCCAAACCCTCCGAAACAGAAGAAGCAGCAGCGCGTATCAGGCCACACAGCAATGGATACAAGATGAAAACGATGAAAAAAGGAAGTGGGGATGAGAAGGAAAAGGGGATGAAATGAGTTCTGGACAGGCCTGGCAGCGTGGGAAGGTGGACACGAGGCAGTAGCACATGGGGCATGGCTCAGCCTAGTGTTCTACTCCTTTAGCTAGAGTCAAGCTACAGGGGATGTCTCTGAGCTGCCAGACACTGGCCTCCTGTGATGTCTGACATGCATTTGTCCACCCTGCCCAGTCTCCAGCCGCAGGGCTTTGAAAGGACCTGTGGCTCACCTCCCTCCAGCACCTAGGATGTCTCACAGGCCTCAGGGCATCTGACACAGCAGGAGACACCTGTGCTTAACAAAGGAATCCCACCTAACCTGTCACTCACGGTTCTTTCCTCAAGCAGGAAAAATGGACCCAAAAGTTTGGAACTTCCTGACTCCTCTATTTTGCAGTTCAGCCACTGCAAAATCCGAGTTTCTCATCCTCCGAGTCGTTACAGCTGGAGTCCCCGGGGAAGCTGTGTCAATACTAACGCCCGAAGAGTCCTGTTGTACAAGGCCAAGGCTCCGCTCAGGTGGATGGCTCCATCGTCTTCCATCCGGTTTGCATTAAGGTCTAGGATTTCCAGGGTTTGGTTCCGCTTTAGTAGTTCTCCCAAAAATTTTACGCCATCACAGGTTACCTTATTACTGAAAGAGAGATATGGACATGTTCTTTAAAAAGGTGCTCAGAAAATGAGTTTCTAAGGCTAGTCAGGGCTGCATCACTCAGCAACACTTACCAGCTAAGATCAAGGTACCTCAGGCTGCTGTTTTCATACAATGCCTCACATAGTCGCTCTACACCAAAGTTTTTCATTTCATGCTTGCACAAGTGTAGTTCCACAAGAGAAGAGTTATTTCTCAGCATCAGAGCTACATGAACTGTAGTCTCTTCCTAAAAACATATGCTCAGTTTTATTAAGCTGTACTTCAGGATAAGAAACAATCTTGCTTCAGTAAAAGAGGGATTCACAACTAACAAGCTCTGGTTGTCAGTAATGTTCTGTTTTGTATATTACAGCTTTGTCTTAAAAATAACCAGGAAACAATGTATTATAATGCTGGGGGTAAAAAAAAAAAATACTAGGAAGATATTTGCAGATTTACAGTACTATATACATCCCTGCAAATATCAGGAGCATCAGTTTTGAATCATTATGTCTAATCAGTTTTCCTCCCAGTCACTGCTGTTCAAAAATGGAATGTTTGGGTCAGTCTCACTAACATTAGAAGTATTTTGTCATGATGCTAGTCTAGTATTTCATAACAAGAAACAGGATTGCTATGGGAAAAAAATATGTCCTGACACTAAAAGACAAAGTAAGTTTGAAGTTGTCATGTTTAGTTAAGAAAATAACTGAATGAATTCTGAGAGTCAGAAATAAGGGAACAACCCGGAGGTCTCAGAAAATTAGAGCTGAAGGTGGGAACAGTGGCAAACAGTCTCCCACAGATACAGACCAGGCCCTTGCGGGCCTATATTTTCAACAGCAGTAGTTTAAATTTACTTCTAAAACTGGGTTTAGGCAGATCAAGCGCTATCTTAGTAGAAAAGAAACTACTAAAATCTGTTTAAACTGTTAAATTCACCTGGGGGAAGTTAGGAAGATCTGGACTTCATGACAGTTTGATTTCATTATCCTACCATCAGGAAAACACTGGATCTACCACAGACACCTGGCAACTGCTGCCAGGCTGGTGAAACCACAACCACAACCAGTCTGATAGCCAGGACTTGAGACAGAGAAGCTGCAGGCGTACAAGTGAAAGCCCTGCAGCTCTGTGTGCCTGAACACATCCAGTGCAGAGCGTACAGCCCAGCAAACACTGCCTTGCAGGTTCTCTCCTCACTGCTGGATTGTTTTGGAGCGTTTGTGTCTTTGTTTCAGCTAATAAACCCATCACAGGTTGTACACTGATGAGGTTCGTTCAGTTGTTAAATTCACGCTTCAAGCTCCAGTAGTGACACAACAAAGCCCCACAGCGCAGGGAACACGGCAGGCGGTTGAAGTGTGCCTTTCTTCCTTGGGCTCTGGCAGTCCCCCACGTACCATGCTGCTCAGATAACAGCAGTCTTTTGTTCAGCCCCTTGTTTCCTGCTAAACTCCATTTCTCCTTCAGTTTGCTGAAGGACACATGAAACTCTCCATGCTCTAACAGCAAAAGGAATACTTGGTTCACCAATACCAAGCTGTCCCCATTAGCCCATTATTTAACAAAAGCATATGCAGCAGGAAAGACATTTTTTTAAAATTAACCTTCTAGCTAAACAAGGGTAGCCTGTGACTGCACAAAACCTGGCACAGAGAGAGGGAAAGAATATTTCTTCAACCATTCACTTAAGGAAACCCCGAGAGCCGTGTAGTTCAGCTGCCATAAATACATCAGTGCTGACTTTACAGATGCTTCCCCCTCAGACTGAGCTGATGCTGCCATCTGCTTCCACACCTCTTGGCTGTACAGTAAAGGACGACTGAGGTTTATTGCTTTGACGGATGTGTTCTGAGTCAGGGCTGTTGCTATTGCTATTAGACACTGTGTCCCCTGGAAATGAAAATAAACAAACTCTTTAGAGAATCCTGTCCAACAGATAGATCAAGCTACCAAATTGCTGTGACTTCTTAGAATTGATTCTCAGATGCTCAAAACCATCAAATGGGCTCAGATTGGAAATACTATTATTTCTGCCTCCATGAACTCTGGGGAGATGCAAGTGCAGCAGGCAAGGGCTTACAGACACAACGTATTTTCTGATTATACCAGTGCCAGCTCCCTACGGAATAATAGAGTGGAATTAGACTAAGCAGTACAAATGACCAGATCTGGCTACTCAGAAAATAAAAAGCAAGAATAATGCATCTCAAAGATACTTGTCCATTTCATTGATCCTGTACTTTGGTGTTCCTCATTCATGGATTAAAACCAGCCTGTGCGTGTTCCCTGAGGGCTTTGGTAAAGGCTTAGGTAACATTTATCCACTAGGTAAATTGATACTAAATGCGAACTAATGTGGTACAGAGTCATGAGAGTCTAGAACAGAGGACAGTCCAGATTTTTGTACTTCCTTCTTGTTTGCTCACTGATTCATATTTACATTATTTTCCAATTAGACTGATTCACACCCAAGGCTATTCCATTTTAAAACAGTTTTCTATCAACTCCCTACCATGCATAAACATATTAAGCTTTCAAATAAATCCTACACTGGCTACACTTCCCTTTTTTTTGGTTTTATAACACCCTTTAGAGTTTCTGAGGAGCATTCCCCCTTCTAGTTTAGGACCAAATTCTGTCATTCCAAGAAACAAATCTAATAATATTTTCATCTGAGCCCAGCTCTTCCCCTGCCTCCAGTTGCAGTCATCCCTGTCAGGCGACAGTCAAACTTACTCCTTCTGGCCAACACACACTTCTTTATCTCCTGAAATGATGAACACCCTTGACAGGAGGGCTGAGGATTTCACTTCTGGCTTGGTTAAAAAGCATTCTCCTGGACAGCATGATATGGGACCAAAGTCTCCCAGGCAGGGAGAAGAATCACTTCCACCCTCCCACCCCTCCTATCTGATCACACAAGGACACACTGTCAGCCAGGCACTGGGACTGTGTACCAGGAGGAGGTTCACAGCTGCAGTTGATATCTCTTGCTGTATCCCACAGGTTTTTAAAAGCTTTTACTGGCCAGAGTGGGAAGCTGCTTAAACTCTGCTTAGTGCATTGATCCATTCCTACCCTCCTGATTTTCCCTGTGGACTGTGTAAGAGGTCTCAGTGCCCAAGTCAAGAAGGTGGCAAGTTGTCCAAGATCAAACTGGGTGCCTTTCTACTCAATTCAGCACTCTTGTGCCCATGTCCTTTATGGATTGAGCTCTGACAGGAGCCACAGACCTATGGGACTGGGTGACTTCCAAGCATTACAGCACTGCATGCTTTAGAAGGAAAAGAACCTCTAGGGAATAGTAAATCCTTTCTTTAACATGAATTGCATAGGACTTGGTGTAACAAAAATGAGCAGCAGAAGCAAACCTTGGACAATGTGAAAGGCAAGCACCTGAATTCCCAGGGATGTAGTGGCTCTTAACATATCATCAGTTATGACTTCACAGGTGTTCTATGCAACATGCCTTTCCAAGAACACATTGCAATATTGTATATTGTGTCACCTTCAGCTATCACAAAATGTAAAATCAATGACAACAGATGGCATTTTCCTTTCATTAAGCACTGCAGGACCTTTATAATATCCTTGAAAGACTCATGTCATAGCTGATAATTTTACTGGGTTACTCACCATATCACAGTCTCCAAGATCCAGCTTCTCCAAGGTTGAATTAATCTGTAGCATTGAAGCAAAGAACATCCCACCTTTGTTTCCTATTTTGTTTCCAGTCATTCTCAAATACAGAAGAGTTTCATTCCTCTAGACAAGACAATAATTTTTTTAAAAACCAACTCCTTTTCAGTGTCCTGGAAAACAACACTGCCCTTTTCCCTGTGAATCCTGCTGGTTGTTACACAAAGACAAAACATTCCTCCAGAAGAATTGTGTCTAAGTGGTAACACTGACTAAGCAGCTGCCTTGGGCTGCCCTCAGTGGAGTCAAATGCTTGGGAGTCTGGACACAAAACTTGAGTATTTGAAAATTTCTGTTTCTCCCAAGTTCAGAGACTTCACACTCATGAAAATAATCCAGGCAGATATTTCTGCCTAATTTGGCAGCTGAAATGTAAATTATATAAAAACTGATTTAAATCTAGTAAGTGTATTCTAAATAAGAATATAATTTGCTTTGTTTTTCACAGTCTTTTAAATCATAAATCACTGAGCTTTCAGTTAAAGCTCACTGGAGCTGGTCACCTTCACTGGGATGACTTGGTACAGAGTCAACACAGCGTGTAAGTCCACACAAGACTGTTGATTTCACTGGCAATATAAAACTCTGATCATGTGATAGATAAGTCAGCATCTTTCCCTTCGCCCTCCAAAGAATTTCAATGGATGTGAAAGATCTATTCACTGTTACAGCCCTAAATGCAAGGCAGAGCAGTTTTGTGGTTTTAATTCCTCAGTACCACTGTAATCACTCACTACTTAATTAAGCATAATCTGTGGTAATTACAAGCCAAGTAGTTCAGTGAGCAGCAGGGGTAAGGTAGTCTGGTTTCCTACAGCTTTTGTCTTCCACGTGTCCCCAGTTCCCCCTCCCCTGCTGCAGTACCTCGCTACAGCTTCCCCTTCCCTCTCCCTCCCTCAGTAACAGCCCCTTCACCCCGAGTCCTCCCCTGCCTGGCCAGGCAGCAGAAGCACACGGAGCCATGGCGATGCTGGTCACATCCTGCCACCCCTCTGCTCAGCACACCCAGCAAACCCTGCCACAGGGCTGCACAAACAGCTTTGGGGCTTGCCTGCAAGCCCTGTGTCATACCATCTACTGTACGACCTTAGCGTTTTGGAGGCCTTCAAATTGAGTGGAAATCAGTTCAGAGTTCAAAGACCTGAAGGAGGAAGAAGGAGCTCACACGAGTCTCATTTCACAAACACAACTGAGCTTAACACAAGCCTCATTTCCTTGGGAAACCACATTAAAAATAACAAACATGTTTTTATGCTGCTGCTGTAAGGCAATGTTTTGAAAACACGCCTTAGACATCTTGAATCAAGACAAATATTGACATCAAGGCAAAGACAAATTTAATAGAATTTTAAAAAAGAATGGAAAAAACCTGATGGCATTATATATCCCATAACATTTTTCACACAGAAAAGCCCTGCTGTGATAATTAAGTGTTAATGGCAGCACCCTGCAAGTTTCTCTTGTGTGAAATCTGGTTTCTGAAGTCTGCCCTGGGAAAACAAGCAGTCCCTGTGATACAGCAAAATGCTGAAGGGACGGAAGACAGAGGGCCCTTTCAGCCAGCACTCATCTTGGCAGGACAGCCAGGGCTGGTCATCCGAGGCAGAACTATCAGACTGGATGCCATTGTCTAAATCTCCCAAACAAATACTCACGTGGAGTGCTCCTGCTATCAGCTCTGCTCCGCTTGTGCCAATATCATTAAACATCAGGTTGAGGTACTGCAGAGTGGAGTTTTCCTTCCAAGGAAACAAAGCAGAAAGCAATGATTTTTTTTTTTTTTTTTTCCCAGAGCACACCTGCAGTTTTCAGAAAGGAGATGCATCATACACGTCCTTAAAACCTCTGTCCTTCACTGCATTGCAAGCAGACTGATTTGTAGGAGCAGTTAAAGACTGCCAAAGTATGTCAGATGATGAGGGAACACAGAAAAACATCTAGTGTGTAGGTGTTTGTGGGGTTTACAGAAACCACCCAGGAACCCTCGTGCTCAGCACGACCATCCAAGGCAGGCAGTCAATCTCAGATGCAGACCTTCATTTTTGAAACTTAGTGGCACTTCCCGAGCTCTAGGAACACAAGCACCTGAGTGGCAACTCACCATTTTCCTTCTGTATTCCAGTGCTTACAATGACAAAAAGGCAGCATTACAGTTTCCTATGCTCAGGCCTACAAAGGCTAACAGAGCACAAGTATCTAAAGCATCTAAAATAAAGGCCCTGGCACACTTTACATACAATTACCTCTGTTGTTGAACTAACTGCAGGCCTAAAAGCCTCACAGCTTATTCCACCTTTCTTTCTTCAGGACACCCTAACCCAATGACCAACCATTTTCTAAAACAAATGAAAATTCTCCTGAGAGAATCTGAGATTCTTGTAGGATGGATTTGGATGTGAAAGTCAAAATTAATGGAATTTTGCCAAACCAATGCACTCTTGTCTCCTATACATCACGAATAAATGTTCATAGTCAAATAAATCACAAGTTGCTGAAAGAGAAACCACTTTGGCACCTGGAGGAATGCTGCCACGTGCTTTGCTCCAGCATCAGTCAATACATTGTACCGAAGATCCAAACCTGAAAAAGATGAAGAATGTGACAAATGCACATCTACAATTAACTGATCTCTAAGCAGAAAGAAATAAAGATGAGCTATGGCTGAAATCAAGACGGCTTACGTTTTCTCGTATTGGCACAGCAACGTCAAACACATGAAAAAGCTTACCTGTGACAAACACAGTATTGTGTAGGACAGAGGCGAGAACTTGAAGATCATCATCTGTAACTCTCTGCACAGGCACTAGATGATTATTTCCAGCAATTTTTAATGTGGTCCCTTTTGTCTGCCTGCTGCAACATAAAAACATAAGCACATGGGGAGAAGGAGAATGACACCGAAAAACACATCCTCTCTCCAGGTGAGCAGCAGACCCAGGCCTGCCCTCGCCCAGCGCCCTCACACACAGGCAGCTCTGGCACAGCCCGTGGGAATGCCGCGGCAGCCGAGGCGATTCCAGCCGTACCTCAGCGCTGCGCCTGGATAGCACAGCTGCAAGACCAGGCTTAGCACATATGCACAGAACGCAGGAAGAAGCAAGATGAAGGGAAGGCAGACGGAAGTAAAGACTATCCTGGAGGTTAAATCATCACCTTTTGACTTTCCTTTATTTACACTACTCTGCCCTCAGGATCAAAACCTAACAGAAACCATTTCCCTATGCTGTATTTGCTCAGGGTTTCCCTCCAACAGACAATTAACTTTGACTCCAGGAGCATCCCTGAGAGGAAGCCCTACCTAGCCACAAAATGAGAGAGAGTTTGAGTGGTTAATACCTTGGCAGGACTCAGAGACAGTTCAGGGAAGCATTACCAGCTGGAAGCTAACTGGATGCAGCTGAGGCTTTTTAAACAAGAGCAAGACAAAAGGAAGGGAGTGAGGATAACTTGACACTGGGTTTGGCTTCTTGAAGGGACACAAAGGCACCATCCTGTACATGTTTCACTTTTTTTTTTAAATTTTATTTTGCTGCTTGTAAAACTTCCTAGAAGGGATCTATAGCTGCAAGCTTCTGCCAAGATGATGTCAAGATGAGTCAAACCAGAACTTCATCAGTAAATGTTAAATGTGATTTGTGTTTAAGCCTGAAACTGCCTGAACTTTCTCACTGTTTAATTCCTTTTCCTGCTATCTCGTTTAAGGATTTTAGAAGCATATGAAGCATGTTGTTTGCTATTTCCTTACTTTTTATCATTTTTATCAGCTTCTCGGAGCACATGAGCAATGAAGGGGTTTTCAGGTTGGCCCAAGTTTTGGCAGGCCTGCACATAGTGCCGGTGAAGATGTGGATGAACCGACATGACCTGCTGGAAAACAAAAGCAAGCGTTAACTGCATTGTTAAGGCAGCCTAGCAACCTCACCATGAACCCAAGTGCTGTTGTGCCAGGCTCTGCATAACAACAAAAATGGGCCCGGTCTGAAAAGGGTTACAGCTGTTGGTATGCAACACACGAACAACAGACACAGGCAGACAGGAAAAGCTGGAGGCGAAAAAACGCGGCGTTGCAGACGGGCTTCTGATCTGCCATCGTGTGGGATCTGAGCTAACAGGATTAATACTCCTACGGGCAGGTAGATATTCCTTGTAAAGTGTCCGGCCCCCGACCCCGCTCCGCAGGCCTACCTGAGACCCAGGCCTGCTGCCCCACGGGCGAGCCCGGCTGCTCCGAGGAGAACAGCGTTTGGCCACAGCGCCCGTTCCCAAGGCGAGCAGGCGGGGCCCTGCAGGAGGGAACGGCTGCTACCCCTGCCCTGCCCTGCGGGGGGAGGCCTGGCCGCCTCTGTGGGGAACGCTGCTCCCTCAGCTCACCCCCGGGTATCTACTGACAGGAGCCTCTGCAGAAATTTCTGTGGTTACACAGATCAGCAGTTGCTTTAAAAGTGCCCCTCCCAATCTTTTCCACCACATCAATCCTCCTCCTGACTTCACCACTGCTTTCACGTGTGGGGCATAGGCTGGGATTCCAGGCTCTCACGTCCCATACTGGTGGGGTTCACACCCTAGTGCTGAGCTTGAAGCCAATAAAAAAGAAAATGGCCAACATCTGGGTGGGTCTGGAAAACCCAGCATAGATCTCTCCTCGTGGTGGTTGCCCAGTTCTTCCTTGTCCAAGTGACACCTTGAACAGCCCCTCTCTGGACATGTGATGTCCTCCCAGGATGGTTATGGCAGCAGGGAAAAGGACATCAGGTGTGAAGTGACTGACAGCTGCCTCCTGACCTGCACTTTCTCTCTAATCATTCCTTAAATGCCAGCTGTAAGGTTTCTTCTGCACAGACATCAGAGGTAGGTCAGGTAGTCAGTCACCCTTTGCCACCTCTCACTCTTTCACTATCAGCAACAGTACAGGTTTGAGGGTTGTCCAATATCAGATTCATTGGCATCTCTGTGGCTCAGAAACCACTAAGTGCTGCAGAAGAAGGTGCCACCTTTTCACAATAAGACTCTTCCCCTTTTACAGTCAGCATAGCTGAAAACAGACCTTAGCCAGTGTTTGTAAATATAGACCTTCAGGACTCAAGGAGGTTGCTTCATGGTGCTCCCCTGACTTCACAAGGTCACCTTCTGAATTTGGCTGTTAGGGCACCTCAAGATTTAAACCTATGGTCCGGCTGTATGTGCTGCAGAATTTGATCTCAACAGAGGCAGCTTTTTGCAGGGGTAAAACTGAGACTAGAACCTGTCCCTAAATTCTGAATTCATCCAGTATTTATTTAGCATTGGAAGGTCTTTGAGTACTCTTGATTTGTAATTTTTTTTCTCTTCTGAAATTAAAAATAAGGAGCAGAGATGGCTGAGAGTCAGCAGAGCCAGGAGGCCAGCGCAGGGGGCACTCACTGCCCTAAAGTCAACTCTGTTGGTTTTAAGGATGACCATGTTGAGACTGCACAAGAAATACCACGGAGTGAAACTCATTCTCCCACATACATCACAGACAGGATCTTTTTCATTGATTTAGCCAATAAGCAACTGCAAACCATCTCACCAGGGGTCTTGAGCCTAGAATATCTGGAAGAGCTGCACATGGAAAAGAACCTGATTGTAAGCATCCCCAGGGACATCAATCGCCTGAAACACCTGAAGGTCCTGTACCTGGATCAGAATCACATTCAGGACATATGTGAAGAACTGGGAGAATTGAAATGTCTTCGGAGCTTAGATTTAAGTAACAATCCTCTCTCTTGCAGTTCGCTGCCAGTTATCAGCAAGTTGCAGTCCCTTCGTCAGCTCAGGCTCTACAAAACAAACCTGCATGAAATCCCAGTCCAGATCTGTGAGCACCTCCATCACATTGGACTGCTTGGCCTTTCTGACAATAATCTCAAGCTTCTGCCTAAAGAAATTGTGAACCTGAGAAAACTCAAAGAAATTTACCTCCGGAAAAACAGATTTGAAAGTTTTCCCAAGGAGCTTTGTCATATTACTAATTTAGAAATAATAGATCTGGAACAAAACCTAATCAGTCTCATCCCAGAAGAGGTCAGCTTTTTGACAAACTTAGTTAAGCTATTTTTAGCTTTTAATAACTTATCCTCCATTCCTCCCACACTGCAACACTGCCAGAAGCTGGCTGTGCTGGATCTGTCTCATAATCTCCTGCACAAGCTTCCCGCAGGTCTGAAGAATCTCACTGAGATGAGAGAAATCAGCCTGTCTGCTAACAGCCTGGAGAGGTTCCCACTCCAGATCTGCCACTGGCCGTCCCTCTCCCGCGTTTCTCTGAGGAACACTGGACTGAGCACTGTGCCCACATCCTTCATCAGATTAACCAGCATCAGGGAACTAGATCTCAGTGAAAATTGCTTTGATGAGATTCCTAAAGGAATATGCACTATGAAAAATCTCGAAGTATTGGCCCTGGATGACAATCAGATACAGGAGGTATTTGCTCCTTTCCTTTCATTTTTATTTTATTGAGACTTCCTTTTTGTAAAACCTAAAGTTCTTCATCACAACTGAGTGCCACCTTT